GGAATTCAAAGAAGGCTTTGCACTTGTCGAGGTTGGCTTCGATTCCTCGTTCTGTCAGGTAAAAATCGAGGAACTTTTCTGCTCGTACGCCGAACGTAAACTTCTCTGGATTGAAGGGTATCATGTACTTCCTGGTCTATTCGAAAACCTTCTTTAGATGGAGCGTATGGTCGGATTCCTCGTGGGATTTCACGATCATTTCGTCCATATAAACCTCGAGCATGTCCCTAATTTCTCCTCAAAAGACTTTGTTCATCATTCTTTGATAGGTAGCGTCAGTGTTTTTTAAGCCGAATGACATTATGTTATAGTAAGAGTTGCCCGATTCAGTCATGAAAGTCGTGTACCTTTTATCGCTTTTGGCCATGGGTATTTGGTTGTAGCTCGAACATGCATCCATGAACGATAATAATTTAAAACCGGCAAAATTATCAACTAATTTGTCTATGTTGGGGAGGGGATAAGCGTCTTAAGGGCATGCCCTATTAAGATCAATATAGTCAACACACATTCTCCATTTTCCATTTGATTTCTTTACAATTACAACATTTGACAGTCAAGTAGTGTACTTGACTTCCGAAATGGAATTTGCCTCTAAGAGGTCTTTTACAGCTTGCTCGGCAGCCTCGATTTTTTTTTCCGGGGACTGCTTGTGCATACGCTGGCTACTACCCTTATAGCGGGGTCGATGGTGAGCTGGTGGTAGGCCACCTCTAGATCGAGCCCAGGAATCTCTGAAGCGCTCCACGCGAACAAGTCAGCATTCTCTCGAAGGCAGGCCTTCAGCTGTTTCCTCGCAAGGTCGGGGAGTCCGATCCCAATCTCCACTCCCTAATAGGGCCGTACCGAGGAGGACTAGCTCAAATTCTCCATCTGGGATTAGCCACAAAGGATGGACAGGCTCGCCGCTTCTTGTTGATGTTGAGGGGTAGCTCGAGCTTCCCTTCTTCTTTTGGTCTCGCAGATCATCTTTGGAGAAACGGCTGTCGAGGTCGATGGAGTCGACGAGGGGCAGTGGTTTTGCCTCATCGAAGCTGCATGGTAGGACACACCTGCTGGATGTTTTCGGTCGAGTGGTGATGATACTTACCCCTTTTGAGGCTTCCTTAAAGCACTTTCTTGCTTCTTCTATGTCTCCGTGTAGGATGGTGACGAGCCCTTTGGAAGTGTGGTACTTCATCTTCAGGTGCATCGTAGAGGGAACGACTATCAACTCGGCCAATATTGGTCGTCCGAAGATGCATTGGTAAAGGGATGGACAGTTAATTACCAGGAACTGGACCTTGATGGACCTTGCCATCTCTGTTTCCCCGAAGGTGACGATCAACTCCACGTATCCCCAGGGCTTCGTGACTAAACCATTAAAGCCTTGGAGATCAGAGCCTACGTAGGGTGTCCAGTGCGACTCATCCAGCTGAAGTGTGGAGAACAACTAGGAATACATAATATCGACCAAACTTTCCTGATCGACCAGGATTCTACGCACGTCAAAGTTGTCCCTCTTCGACCTTATGAGTAAGGGAATACTGGATTTGGGGGCTCCGTCGAGGAGTTCCTTGTGATAGAAAGTGACAGGAATTGATTCTCCTCGAACCTTGTCGAAGGTAGAGCTTTGGCTCGAGCTTGTGTTGATGAGGTGCTCAAATTTCCTCTTTACGGACCCCACAATCACCTTGTTAAATCCTCCTCCTGATATGACCATGGCGGAGGGGAAGGCTTCCTAGAAGCTATGCGCAACAAAATAAGGAGGGACACAAAAATCTTCTAGACGCGATATGCTCATGGCGACCTGAAGGCTGGCGTCGTCTGAGGATGGCACTTCTTCCTCAACATTCTTTGATTCTTGGGCCTCGTGTCGAGGAGCATATTTCTTCCTCGCAAACTGCTTCAGATGCTCATCTCTGATTAGGATCTCAATTGCATCCTTGAGATGGATGCACTCGTTCGTCATGTGACTGTAGCTCTTGTGGAACCGGCAGTACTTCGTTTTATATGTGTTTGGCCTGGCAGGTATGTGCTTTAGGAAACAGACTCCTGCTTTCAAGAACTCTGAATTCACACACTCGGAGAGAATCTTCTCACCCGAGGTGGTCAGCAGCGTGTATTCATGGAACCGGCCAGATGACCCTTTGTGATCTCGGGATTCCCAAGGGAGGTCATCCCTTCTTTTCTCAGCTCCTCGACGAGATGTTGAGGCTTCATCGTGCTTTGAGGACCTGGCGTTCTCGTGGTGCCCTGAGTCCTAGACGGTGTTGGCTGCTTCCCTTTCTTCATACTAGATGTATGCTTGAGCCTTGAGGAGGAGAGCATCCAGTGTTGTTGGGGTTTCTATGCCAACAACCTTGGCAAATTCGATGCGGGGACGGAGCCCGCACTCTAGAAAATATTGTTTCATGTCGTCAGTCGTGGGGACCTAAACGGCTTCTTTGTTGAATATTTCAATGTAAGCTCGAAGAGATTAGTCCCTTCCTTGGATGATAGCCTCAAGGGAGGCTTCTATCTTCGGGTGACGACGAGAGGCTGTGAAGTGTCTGGAGAACATCCTCCCTAACTGCCCCCATGAGGTGATGGATTCAGAGGGGAGGCTCTTATACCAGGACATTGCCCCATTCCTCAGTATTGTCGGGAACAATTTGCATTTGATGGTGCCTCGGGCACCGCGATAGTCGAGAAGGGCATCGATGTTCTCAATGTGCTTATCAGGGTTTATTGTGCCATCGTATGTGCCCAAATGTGGAGGCTTCTCCAGCCCCGTGGCTAGTCAAGTGGCCATGATCTCCTAGGATAATAGGCCTCGAGGTTCTTCGTCGTCACTATAACATCTTGACCGCGAATGTGAGTGTGTGTCTCTACTGGGGCGAGGACTGTGATCCCGACAGGGAGAAGGAGTTCACGACCGACCCTTTGGTCTGGGAGGGGGTGAACGCCGACCTTTTGCCCGTGAGCCTCTTCTTTCTCTCTTGACCCTTGGGGAGTGCTGACTCTGGGGAGGAGTGTGTTCACGCTTCCTGACTGGCAGGGGTTCTGGTTCTGATGGGATGTGGTGATTCCTCTTGCGTCGAGGAGGAGGACTTCGAGACCTCTGGTGCTCGCGCCTTGGTGGAGGAGATTTTGGACGGTAAACTTCTTCCAATGCTCCAATTCTTGCATTCTGTTGCAGAATCAGAAGGTTCTTCTTGTTGAGGGCTTCGACCAGAGCTGTCATGGTTGGGTCGACATTGGGAAGAACTAGGACAGGCTGGTGATCCACTAAATGCTGGACCTCTGCATTGTTGTCGTGATCCGGGGAGAGAGATGCGGTGACTCCATCCCTCGGTTGAGGAACATTATCTCCAAGATAGGGGGTCACCCCGTGGTTATCCGTCTTGATGGCGGGGGAAATGAAGGTGTTGCGATCATCTTGGACGTTGTCATGACCAACCATAATCGGAATCTTGAAAAGCTGCTTTGATATTTGGTTTCAGAGGAAAGAAAGACGGGGAAAACAGAAGTTCTCACAAACGGCGCCACTGATCTTGACAGTTGATCAGAACCTGAAGTGGGTCAGAGACTTCGTCTGCGATGCTGGAATCAAGGAGGAGGGGGTATATCTGCAAGGCACTTCAATGCTAAAGTAAAAATCGGGAGATGAGAAGGCAAGTACAAAGTAAGTGTTTCTTAGCGTGATTATTCGATAGAATATTGAATACCTGACCCTCTCAAGGGAGAGAGTTTTATAATGCCCCTAGCGCTTGACTATTGGTCCCTATTTTCGAGGCGAGATATTCGCCCCCCCCCCCCCCCCCCCCCGAGAATATGTAACTGCTATAAACTAGCCATTGAGACTTGGAATACATGCTCAGAACTAGCCAGTGCATCGAGTAAGGGTGTGGTTCCAGGAAAGGGCGTTGTGGTCGTTCTTGGATGGATGAACTGTGCATGACGGACAAAGATGGAATGAAGGACAACCGATCTTGGGGGTCAGCTGGCCAAACCTCCTCGGCTGAGGGGCAGAAGACAAAGTGCTTTCCTTTGCCCTCAACTAACAGGACCTAGGTTATTGGGCCTGATCTGGATGCAGAAGTGGATTGAGCCATGCCTAACCAATGGGTCAGTCCAGAACAATATATATATATATATATATATATATATATATATATATATATATATATATATATATATATATATATATATATATATATATATATATATATATATATATATATATATATATATATATATATATATATATATATATATATATATATATATATATATATATATATATATATATATATATATATATATATATATATATATATATATATATATATATATATATATATATATATATATATATATATATATATATATATATATATATATATATATATATATATATATATATATATATATATATATATATATATATATATATATATATATATATATATATATATATATATATATATATATATATATATATATATATATATATATATATATATATATATATATATATATATATAACGTATCATATGAGAATGTCATTTTTATGTGAGAATATGAGAATGAATCTGAACCATTAGATTTTAAAATAAATGGTGGAGATTATGTGTCTTTTTTTCTCTCTCCTCCATAATTTATTTTAGGCTTAAATGCACTTTTAGTCCCCCTATTTACAATTTTTTAATGTTTTAGTCCCCCTTTTAATTTGTTCAGCCTTTTAGTCCCTCAAGTTGTCACTTTTTGGGATTTTTTTAGTCTCCCTCCTATTTTGATTATGTGGAGCTCAAAATGGTGATTTGGCATGGTAAGTCAGATACCATGTCATTTAAATAATTGCTAAGTTAATGACATGAAATTTGTATTTTCATTATTTTTTAAACTTGTAAACGAATTTGCACTGTGTTTATATATCAAAGAGCCCTAATTTATTCAGTTGCTTCCATAATTCCCCTAATTTCTTTAGTTGCTTCCATAACCTCATCAACAATCTGCAAACGAATTGTGAAGACACCATGGAATATAAAGATCAAGGAAGAACGAAAAGCAAGGAAGAAGTGAAATATTGTATGAGGTAAGTGAATCTTTTTTTTACTGGAATTAGGGTTAATGGTCCCTTCTTCGTTTCTTTATTCATAATGTGGTCCCTTATCCGTTTTCTTTATTCTGAATATGGGTCCCAAAAAATATTGTTTATTCTGAATGTTGGACCAAATAATGTTGTTTAGACTGAATTAGGGTTTATTTTGAGTGTGGTCCCCAATATTGATGTTTATTCTGAACCCTTGTTTCTATTACAGACCAAGTCAAAAGCAAGGCATTAGGATACAATTTCATCTTAGAGGAAAGTTAGTGTCTAAACCTGTGAAGTGGTATGTTAACAGGGTAATTTCTGAAATGAACTGGGAATGGAATATGGATTATGTGTCGTATATGAAATTGAGAGAGTTGATTCACAATGAGGGATATACCAATATTAAGTGTTTATGGTATTGGAACCTCATGTATAGTTTTTGGTGTGGCCTTAGACCCCTAAATTCTGATCAAGATGTGTTGAAATTTGTTGCTGATGTTAAGGGTTATGATGTTGTAGATGTGTATGTAAAGCACTTAGTTTATACTCCAAATATTATAGATGAGGCTGAGCTAGGAAAGGAAGATGTGGATGGAAAGGAAGATGAAAATGTGGAGGGAAATGAAGATGTGGAGGGAAAAGAAGCTGAGAATGTGGAGGGAAATGAAGATGAGGATGTGGAGGGAAATGAAAATGAGAATGTGGAGGGAAAGGAAGATGAGAATGTGGAGGAAAATGAAGATGTTGAATCTAAGAAAGATGAGAATGTGGAGGGAAATGAACATGAGTATGTGGAGGGAAATGAACATGAGAATGTGGAGGGAAATGAACATGAGTATGTGGAGGGAAAGGAACATGAGATTGTGGAGGCTGAAATAGGAAAGGAAAATGATAATGTGAATGGAAAAGAACATGACAATGTGGATGATAATGACAATGATTCATTAAGTGAAGGTGCCAATAAATATGTTGCAAGTGAAAGTGACAATGATTCATCAAGTGAAGGTGAGGATGACTATGTTACAAGTGAGGATGACTGATTCAATCAATATGGATTGGACCACAGTGCTACAAGGTCGTGAAGATGTGTGTCAAGCTGCTAAGACAATGTGTCAAGATGGTGATGATGACTTTGATCAACTACATACACCTCTTGATAGTGAGGATGATGAAGAAAATGAGAAATTCCCAGCTTATAGAAGTGGTGAAGGATTAACATTTCAACTAGGTATGGTTTTTAATAACAAAGATTTAATGAGAGAGGCTGTAAAAGAGTATGCAATGGATATGAAGAAAAATATTTTCATTAAGAAAAATGATGCCAAGAGGATAGTAGTTAAGTGTATGGAAGGTTGTAATCAGTTTGTGGTATATGTAATGAGTTTGAAGTCATTTTGTAATCAGTTTGTTGTCCATGTATTGGAACAAGTTATTGTCTATGTAATGACTTTAATGATATCTCTATGAAGTAATTCTCAATTTCAACTTCCTTATCTGTTAATTATACAGTATTAGAACTTTAATGATATCTTTATGAAGTAATGTCCTTTAATTCATCACAACCTTCCTAAGTAATGACTATAATTGGAACATGTATTATGTAATGACTAATTGGAACATGTCCTATAATTAGAACATGTACAATCTGTAAACAAATGGATTACATTATTGGAACATGTACAATCTGTAAACTTTCAGAAAGTGTTTTTTCAATAACAGTTATTCACATATAATGTACAATCTGTAAACAAATTGGAACATGTACTATGTAATGACTAATTGGAACATGTCCAATAAGCAACATCTGCTACAAAACCATATAGCCAAGATGCCATATAAACCATAAACATATTAAACCAAAAATCATCATTCTCATTCATCAATTCATGGGTTACATTCATACTGTCAAATTCATTACACTTGTTACAACTAAACCATAAATATACAACATCATTTTTTAACCACAACCTACTTCATTACACTTGTTACAACTAAGCCTAATAACATTACAAAGCTCATAACACATGTAAACTTCAGTTGCATATTAAGGAACTTGATCTTCATCTTCAACTCATCCTCTTTGACCCTGCATTCATTAACCTTATTATGCTCTGAGCATAATTTTTCATTCAAAGATGTAATGATTTCTTTTGCTCTTGAGGTCATCTCTTCATCATACCAAACAAAATGGCCACATCTCTTTTGTCCCACAAGCTACAAGCAATATATGAGAAGAAGAAAAAACGTTAGACATTTTCATGATTGGAGAAAGTAGGAGTGATAAATCATAGACAAATAATACCTTATACATCCCAAAGCCATAAAAGCGTCATCATGGGTTAGAATCAGTCCATGATGTCATCAGTGGTGCTTCTAGGCTGCACAGACATTCGTCATGGTTCGATTTGAAGTTTGAATGGAGACGAATGCTTACTTGGGAAAAACCAGACATGGGAAAGACGAGGTAGAATACGTGGAGAAGATGAAGTATAAGACGTGGAGGAGAAGGAGTAGTAGCAGAGTTTCTGGAGATGAGTAAAGGGATAAACACGATAAAATTAGGGTTCTTCGTTATGTAGACTGTCTAACATTAATTTATATTTTTTAAAATATTAATATTTTATTAAAATGTATAAATGACATGACATCTGACTTACCATGCCCAATCACCATTTTGAGTGCCACATAATCAAAACAGAAGGAGGACTAAAAAAATTCCAAAAAATGATAACTTGAGAGACTAAAAGGCTGAAAAAATTAAAAGAGGGACTAAAACGTTAAAAAATTATAAATAGGGGGACTAAAAGTGCACTTAAGCCTTTATTTTAATAAAATTGAGGAGAGAGAAAAAAAACTACAAATAATCTCCACAATTCTAAAATCTAATGGTTTAGATTCATTCTCATTTTCTTACATAAAAATGACATTCTCATAGAATATTTTTAATTTCTTTTTTTATTCATAAAAGATTTTTTTTAAAGAATAATTCTTTTAATATTTTTGATCCATATTTTTAGTTCCTCTTGCAAACTATCTTTAATAGAAGTTATACAAATTTATCATGGATGTCACGTGTCATTTTATATTATTTATATTAATTAAATTTATAGCGACAAAGATTTTGTCTATAAAATTGTCGCTAACTTGAACATCATAAAAAAAAACCAAAAATCATAGCTAATCCCTACCTAATTCAAACACATCATTCTTATGACATATACTTTGTTTTTTCATGATTTTTTGCAAGAAGTTTATCACGTTATGAGGATCTCTCACAAAAATTTATTTATTTTTGACTTAAGATGAATTTTATATATATATATATATATATATATATATATATATATATATATATATATATATATATATATATATATATATATATATATATATATATATATATATATATATATATATATATATATATATATATATATATATATATATATATATATATATATATATATATATATATATATATATATATATATATATATATATATATATATATATATATATTATAAGTGTCAACTTTCTATGAAATGAAAACAACGCAAACATTTGCATAAGATTGAATTTTCAGCTAATATTCTACAAGAACTTATATCATAATAAATAAAAAGAATCTGCAAATTTTCATAGCATTTTGAATAAGTGTCAATTTATTTTAATATTTTGAGCGAAACACATATAATCTATTCTTTTTTAAGAGACGAAATGATAAATTAAACCTCATTGGTGGTAAAAAGACTGACATACTTTAATTTTTTTCACGTTAGTGTATCAAATTATAAGGATCTATCCCACAAAAATAGAATTTTGTTTGGCATGAGATGAATTAAGAAGAACTTTTTAAACGTCGATTTTCTATGAAACAAAATCAACGTAACATTGGCATATGATTATATCTTAAGCTAATATTTTGCAAAGAATTACATAAGAACGCATAAAACAAAATCTGCAAAGTTTCATGGCTTTTCAACTAAGCTTTGATTTATTTTGATTTTTCAATCAAAATACATGTATGTGTTTCGATCCAAAATCAATAAACCGAGACTTATTCAGAATGTAATGAAACTTTGCAGATACATTATATATATTATGAGATAAGTTCCTGCAAAATAATAGCTCAAAATTCAATGATATGCTAATATTTTACTTATTTTCAATTAGTAGAAAATCGGCTCTTAAAAAATTATATTTAAATCATCAAGTAAAAAAGTTTAAGTTTTTGTGAGAGAGATTCTTATAATGTGATAAACGTTCTTGAAAACAATCATGAAAAAATGAGAAGTCTAGGTCATAAGAAGGATGTATCTGAATTAGTTAGGGATTGGCTATATATTAACTTTGTTTTTGGAATTTTTTATGATGTTCTTGTTAGCGACGAATTTAATTAATATAAATAATATAAAATGGTGACAAAGTGTCATGTGGCATCCATGTCAACATTTTTGTCACGTATCATGCTACATTAGCTTCTATTAACGAATATTAGTAGGAGAAACTAAAAATGTGGATGAAAAGAAATTTTTTTTAGAGACTAAAAGTGAAATTAAAGATATTTAAAAAGACTATAAACATACAAACACACACACACACACACACACACACACACACACACACATACATATATATATATATATATATATATATATATATATATATATATATATATATATATATATATATATATATATATATATATATATATATATATATATATATATATATATATATATATATATATATATATATATATATATATATATATATATATATATATATATATATATATATATATATATATATATATATATATATATATATATATATATATATATATATATATATATATATATATATATATATATATATATATATACATATGCATATATATATATATATATATATATATATATATATATATATATATATATATATATATATATATATGCATATATATATATATATATATATATATATATATGCATATATATATATATATATATATATATATATATATATATATATATATATATATATATATATATATATATATATATATATATATATATATATATATATATATATATATATATACATACATATATATATATATACATACATACATACATATATATATATATATATATATATATATATATATATATATATATATATATATATATATATATATATATATATATATATTGTTGTGAATCAGATACCTTTAAACAAAGTATAAACGGTTTCTTAATGATCAAGAAACTCACAAGGGTTAGGGTTAACAAAGAAAACAAGGTAAAACAACAAGGAACAACAAGGATTGGTTATTAAACTGCTATTATTTCCTTTCTCTTAGAACAAGATTACAAGTATACAAGAATAACAAAATAACCTTTCTCCCTTGAAATTAGGATTTTATCTTCCTATTTTTCCTTATTCTCAAGATTGAGAAACTAGCATCCTATTTATAATAAAATAGCACACTAACCTAATGAGCTTTTTAACAATTATCCATTACAATCTAACTTAGGGTACAAGCCAACTTAAACAATTGGGCTTACAAGCAAGGCCCAATTCAACATGCTAACAACCCTAGCAATATTGACTAATGCATGTTAGAACAAACTTCGACTACAACACACATTACTCGCGAACAGACTTCGACTATACTAGAGTTCAATCCAATATCTCACAAATCTCCACCTTGGATCTAACTCTATAACATCAAGAAACTAGCTTTCTTCGTGCAACTTTATTAACTGCATACAGTGGAAAAACTTGCAACTGGGCAACGTCTTGGTGATCATATCAGCAGCATTATGATCTGTCGAAACCTTCAGCACTTGGACTTCTCCACGCTCGATTACCCCTCTAATGAAATGCAGCCTCACATCAATGTGCTTGGTTCATTCATGATAGGCTGAATTCTTCGACAGGTGTATTGCACTTTGACTATCACATTTAACAGTGATAACTCGACCTTGAAGTTTTAGCTCCTTTGCAAAACCTTCAAGCCACAATGCTTCTTTCA